CGGACTGACTGTCGGTGGCACAATTTTCCGGAATTCGGACTGCGTGTCCACTTAGTATAGGTGAGCCATGATCTATCCAGTCACTAGGTATTTGAAACAATTATTACAATAGCCGTAATATATAACTGTTTTTCAGATCTGGTTATGCCTGGCTTAGCTGGCTTGCGTTTAATGAGTTATTTCTTGTGGCATACTTCGCTTATGGTCGTTACGGGTGAAATCCTCATAAACCGCGTGCGCTACGGCCCTACGGGTGCGGGTGGAAAGGCTAAAAATACGGGTGAGATTGTCTCACCGTCTCACGTGCACGGGTGAAGGTTTACCACGTGCAAGGGTGATTTTTGCTCGGCCACGGGTGGTTTTTGCCCAATTTTCCATACCGGATTGTGTGCATGCCGCAGCCATTCTTGCCCAGAGCTCTCTAGCTTGGGGCTTGGCCCAAGTCTCTTCCTTATATCTGCAACTAATGACAGAGATCAGGCTGGGCAGTGCATAAGCACTCGAAGCCTTCAAATTCAATTATAAAAAAAAATAAATTATTGTGATTGTGCTCGAAAGGCTTTGATGTGGTAAATATGGGGGAAGCAGCTTTGAAGAGCCACGCCAAAGGCAGCAAACACACCAAGTTAGCATTATCATGTACAAATAATCAGTACAATCTTGTGTGCATTACTCAATATTAGTTGTGATTTGACACTATTGATTTCATAATAATAAAAGTGGGCGCTTGACTTTCAGATTTGTGTCATTTCTGTTCCTCTGTGAGTCTGTGTTGTGTCTGCGTGTTCTATGCATTTATACGTTTGCTATTTATCAACTGTAGTGTGTAGGACTAGGAGATGATAGAATATGCACAGTTAGTCTTTCAGACATGCTAAACCTGTCGTAGGTATACGAGTCTTGGAAAATTATATTGATGGTCATGGAGAGCATAGTGACAAACCAGAGATTTTTTAGAATCAGTTCATTTTTAATTCCCTAATTCACCCAAGATTTAAATCAATTCCTTATGTATGATACTGCTGGTATCCAGGATACTTTACTGGTCTACTTATAAGACTCACAAATGAACTTGAGGGAGAGTCTAAAAAACTCTCTGCTTTGCCACTATGATGGAGAGTAATGGAAAAGTAATGGAATTTTTTTTCTAAATGCCACTCAGCCTTGCCACTTGCCAGTACGCACCCTGACCCCTGTGAAAGGATTCTATCCCACATATATTATTGTAAATGTGATTATAAACAGGATCCTCTCAACTCTCAAGACCATCAAGAGTGCTAAACAAATCGCCCAGAGTGCCCCAGACAGTGAGCCCCCTTTGAAGTACGACCCTGATGGTAGTTGCCATGTAGCATAGCAGATGTAGCCTAGCATCAGCTGGTCTTTGTTTTCTCATCTAAAGTGTGCCAACCGAATGGACTTTAATGATGCTCCAGCCCTCCAGGCTGGACCATCTGGCCTCTGCTGTCTGCTCCCTGTCTGGGTATTTAGTGGGTAAGCCCTCCCAATCCCATCACTTGATAGGTAAGGGTGACTAACCTTGGCCTTGCTCTATTTACTAATCTAGTTTGAAGTAGCTTGTTGAAGCAAAAAAACAACCTTTAAGTTTTCAAAGTCTAATCTGGCCTTTTATCCACAGGCCGGTTCAATCTGGCCGTCGCTGACCATCGCATCCAGATGTGAGGAGGGTGGTGAAAAACTGAGTTCTTATTAAACGGATCCAATGAAGAAATGGTGGCAATAACCAACACGAGGAGAACTGTTTAGGACCAGAAAATTTAATGATCAGATAACAGCAAACAAATGTTTCTTCTGAGAGCTACACCTTAGCACCTATGACTGTCACTGTCCCTATTTAATAAAAAATAAACAGTTAGAATAGCACTAGCACAATTAGTTACAAATTATTACCTTTATGGGCATTGCTTGATCAAATTCCTGGAAAATAATATCTAGGTTTCTTATTAAAATCTACAGTGCATCAGCAAAATCACAAACTGCCAATAAGTCCCAAATCATGAAATAGGTACGTCTGCAAGCCTGCGACTGTTTTATATATGTCTATGCTTTATAGGCAGGCGCTAACATAGCTTATAATGCTCTGTCAATTGTAGTATCAGCAAATTTTATTTTTTTGCCATTTCTATTTTCTAATCATTCCTATATGCTATTCGGTTTTATGATCAAGATCAACTGAGTTTTAACTTTGGTAGTCATAAATATTCTTTATTCACAGTATTTCAAAAATTTTGTGACCTATCCAGTATCCATTATGTGATAATTAATGACGTCATTTCATTTTCATCTACTAGTTGACAGAGACTTGACTACTAGTTAGTTGACAGGCTATTACACATAGAACTTGATGTTTGCCAGATTGAACTCCTTATAGTAAATACAGTATCTAGAATGCCAATATAATTTATGAAAAATTATCAATTTAAATTTTCTGACAAGTTTTTCAGAATAATAATTTGAATTTTTTGACATTGTTATACTTAATTAAATAATATTGATAGCCCATTATTTGCCATAGTCATTGTGCTGCTTTTGCCAGCCTGCCAGGCAGCCAGGTCACCATGGAATTGAACTTGGACAAGGTAATCTTATGTTTTTTATCAATCTTTCTTTGTTATTAAAATGTGATATCTGAGGATTTTGGAAATAACCATTGGCATGCTCAATTTCTGGTCAATTTACAATGTTTGCTGTAATGTTATCTAAGTATCTGGGATGTATCAGCAAAGATTCCTCCTTAAAAAAACCTGCAAACTATAAAATATGAATGGAAACACACATGAGAAAGTGAAATCCTTGTTTTTTAAATGTCCTGTTAATGTTTTTGGTTGACAAATCATCAAGATTAATAAGAAGTTTTTGTGTGTCCTATTTATATGGAACATATTAAGACATAACATATTAAGGTTTTCTGTTTATAGTTTTATAATATTATTATTAGACAATACTTTCACAAGGATAACATTTGACTTCTTTGCTACACAGCTCCAGGAATACCTTGAAGAGCTTAATCATCTTAAGACTCATGGAACCAAGACTGTAATGTTAGATGATGTTCTGGATGCAGAAATTCATTGCATTGGAAATAAAATCAAGGCTCTTACATTGGAAAAGAAGCAGCAAGAGGCAAGTGTTATCTATTTACCTGGTATTGTGCACGTGATGAGCATTGATCCCATGCCCCATGGTGCTTCTATTAATTTCAGATTTTCAATTTTGGCACAATTTTTTTAACCCATGAATAAATTTCATTATCAATGAGATTCAAGATGTATATTGACTGGTATACGGTATATCCATTGTTTTAAATTTTACATTGCAGGATGCTGCAATATAAAGGTATTTTTAATACCATATTCAAGCTTAGATTAATAGATGGTCCATTGTTCAGTTTATGTGAGCTTATGCATGTGTCGATGCTAGAAGTTTGAGATGGTTTCTAATGTTACTTACAGTAGTGATTGAGGACCACTGTTTCAAGGTTTTTGCTTTCTGAAATATCTGATGAATCTTTTAAAAATTATTGAATAAAAGATTTGAAGTAAGGTTTCAGAAGCTTAAAACAAATTTTTTTGCATCATTCAAGTTTAATGAAAGACATTGTATACCAGTGTAAATTAGGTATTTTTTTCTTCATATTTAACAAGTTAGGTTCAGTGTAAACTCACGTGTCATCTAGAATTGCAGCATTTAAAACAACTGCTGAAAACTTCATAGATTTGCTTTGGTCTATTTTGCAACATTAACCCTTGTCAGACTGCATAATTATACAATGTTGAAGCCATACTAAGTATAGGAACAATTGTACCTATGCAGTGCTACAATAGCTGAATAGTTTGCTTGTTTGGCATTTGCAGTTGTTGGCCAGCAGTGCCAAAATGCAGGAGGCACTGAGAGAAGCAAGCAAATTGCCGCTCAGGGAGCAACTAGAGAAGCAGATTGTGGCTATACGGGATGAGGCTGATAGCATTTCCATTGAGTTGGCAGGCATGGGACTCCCCAGTGATGAAGTCAAGAAGAGACTTTGTGAATGTGAGGAGCTAATTTCCCTCATCACCTGCAAGCTTGAGGTACGTTAATATTTTTCTAATCAGGAAAGGTTTCCTGAAAACATTACATTTCTCCCTGCAAATTAAATGGAGTACCTCAACACTTACTTAACCCTACAGTGGTTATCTGCAAAAACTGATCAGATTTGCTGCCTTTTTGCTTGGTTTCATTAAGATTGATTTTCATAGTCATGCATTACATATGTAATTTATGTACCCACTGCCGAGTTAATGGGGAAAATTTAATGGTACAAGCTCTTCAGTACAAAAGCAGGATGGTGTATTGCACCAGCTGATGATTAAAAACCTTGTCTTACAGAATTTTATTTCTATGCATTAAGCCAGATTTTTTACCAGATTATCACAAAAAAAAAGACCTAAGTACCTCTAAGATGTATTTAAATACAAGTTGTTTCACACCATCTGCATTGGGATTGTCTCTAACGCTTTGCATTCAAAGTTGAAAAAGAAACTGTCACAAACACAAAAATATACTGCAGAATTGTAGTTGAAATTTGAATGGCCAGCTTTTAATGAAACTTTCTAGATTTTGAGCTAAGAAACTTAAGTTTCATGTTTGTTACTTGCCAATTATAAAACTTTCCAAGTGTTTTGGTCAGCAATGAATATTGAAGCTCCTATGCTTGGCAGCAATTATAGATTGAATAATATTACTGATAGCTGATATTGAACAAGCTGGCATCTTCCTTTGCTTGAGTTCAATTCTTGAGCATAGGGTTGAGAAATAAGTATCTATTTAATAGGGCATTATTTGGAGCTTGAAATGAGCAAAAGTTTTAAGTGGATCTTATCTCAAGTTCTATCATTTGAATAGCTCAATTTTCTATTTGTAACTCTTATTGAATTTTACCAATTAGTTCCCATTTTATTAAGTGTTTACTACACTCTATAAACTAATGGTGCTAAATAATTCTATGCAATTTGCTGCCTCTCAGACTGCCATAAAATCCAACACAGCAGACAATGTTTCTCTTGCTGGCCTGCCCATCACCAGTGTTGCAATTCAGGGTGAGTTTTTTACTGGCTAATCACAAGCCATAATATTAAATTACTTATCTCTGTTAATTTCCTATGTATTAAAATTCAATACCCACTTGTGATGAATAACTTTATCTAAGGCTTGCCATTCTTTTTTCACATCCATTCGTGTATTGTTTAATAAATTTTAAATTTTATGTGAGCAAATGTTGAAGAAATATTTTTTGACACATTGAGTTCATGGAAACATAGCAGCATTGTTGACATTGCAGAGAATCAGAAGCAGACTTTGTTATGGCAGCGTCAGTCCTACAGCACAATTTCTCTTTCATTGGTCAGATATACAACCAACTTTTGTCATGTTAACTGTAGTGTTTTATTGCTGATAACAACTTCATTTGGGTGTACAATAAGTTATTTTAATAATTAGAAATTATCTTGTCATCTATCTGTTGAGAGCAAAATTTATTTACTGATAAACTTTCCCTGTAGTAGACTCCTGCATTATCTCACTGCTAGGTCACTATTTTATTTTATGACATTGGGAAATTTCTTTGCCTTCCATCTATCCCATATATCATTTTTTGTAGCTTCATTAGTATCAAAATCTAAATTAAATGGCTTTAGCTACCTTGATACTGAGATGTGATTGTGGTGATAGGAACCTTGCATATTTATCAAGTCATTTTCCTTCTTGAACATTTAAGTAATGTGCTTTGAGGTTTTTATTTGAATGCTTTACACTCTTGTGGAGTGCCTTGCATAGGTAAATTCTTTAGCAGCCTTCCTTATTATAGGGTAAAGCTGTCAAGGTAATGGTTTCAGGCCTAACTTGTTTGACTTGAACAAGTTTTTTCTTCCTTCCCCTCCCTCTATTTCTTTTCTTTTATTCTTTTATATATTCTTGTTTGACATTTAATGCAACCACTGTGTGTGGGAAAATATTTTGTATCATTGCATTTTGTTATGAATTATTTATCTCCTTTTTAATCTGGTTTTTGATGCTGTTTATCAGGCAATAAATGGTGGCCGTGTGTGGATACCATCTTGTGGCACTTCAATCTTCACTGACAATTGCTAGCTTAGCTGACTCAAAACTTAATGATCTGCACAAATTCGAGATTGAAAATTTTTCATGTACAATACTGAAGTTTCATTACTAGTATGTTCCAATGAGATATTTTGTACATCATTGCTCAGGTATTATATGACAAAATATTTTTCCTCCAATCTCTTTTTAATCTTCAATGATCCATGCACTGAAATTATGATCCTGTTTATAGGACATTTGGGTAAAGTCTGAAATATATAGCATGTATGTGGACTTTGTGGAGCCCTATTCTAATCTTATAACATAATATAAGCATTATCTTAGCATCGAGTAAATATTCATTTGAGCCCAATTTCTCTTCACGTCAGATTGGGATCAAACTGAAAAGTTTGTCAAGCTGTACCTTGACATGCCGGGTGTTGATGCCACTCGCATATTGAATGCGTGGTGCACATTCAAGGAGCGGCACTTGAGTGTCTTGGTGCCAGACGTCAATGGCCAGAACTATCACTTCAGTCTACGGGACCTAAGCAATGACATCAACCCAAAGCAGAGCAAATTGATTTACAATAATGGTATTGTCTGCTCATACTATTATAAGATGTATAATACTATCAGTCTATTATAAGATTTATAATAGTATCCTACTATTTTAAGATTTACAATACTATCATTCTATTATAAGATTTATAATAGTATCATGCTATTTTAAGATTTACAATACTATCATTCTTTTATAACATTTATAATACTATCAATCTATTTTAAGATTGCCTGGATTTGCTTAGAGAATTGAGAATTTAATTGAGAAATTATTTCTAACTATGATGGTACCTGTTGAACTTTTAGGTAGTACTTATGATTTTTCTGTAAGACATTCTTATTAATGAAAAATACCGTACATGTGCATTTTTGGATCATTCTTAAGTGACCCATGAAATGTTTGGTAATATAGTATCTTCACTTTTAAGTGACCCATAAAATGTTGGGTAATATACGCAGTATCTTCCATTTTAAGTGACCCATAAAATTGGTAATATAGTATCTTTTGTTCTTAAGTGCCCATGAAATGGTTGGTAAAATCGTAGCTTTTTGTTTTTATGTGACCCATGAAATGTTTGGTAATATAGTAGCTTTGACCCACATGACTTGTGTCATGATGCATTCCTTGGGGGCATCTATTAATGTTGTGAACCATGCAAGCTATGGGTGATAACTGCACTAACTGCATTATCCAATAATCCAACTGATCCTTCAAAACATTCTATAACATTAATTTGTGTTGGCAAAACTTGGATCGAAGCATTGTCACAGTCATGGGATTTTTAACAGCAAAATTTACTTATGGAATAAATTAGTAACTGCTTTCTTCTTATTTTTCCCTACACTGCTCTTGAATCTTTCCATTCTTCCTAAAAAAGATAATTTATTAAACTTGGAGTTGAGATTGCCTTCCATGTCTGGATTTCTTTGAGTGCAGAGAAAATCTTGTGCAGAGCATGGATGATGGGATTGTTATTAATGTTGTGTAATGATATACATTTCATCCTTGCCATTGGTATAATAATTTTATTCAACAAATAGAAAACACATTGTGAAAATGAATAACATTGTAATTCAAGCAAGTTTAAAAACTAATTCCAGCTTCTCAGTTCACTTGTTGGACTATTCATAATAAAATTCTGATTCTTAATAAATTTTTTTATTGGTAGGTAGTAGTCCATGAGAAGTAAACTTCATGCTGTTGTAAAGCATATTAAAATAAGGAACATAATCCTAGATTGCATGTGTAAAAACAACAATGCTGAGTAGAACCATAGCCAGAGAAATCAAACTAAAATCTTTTTTTACACTAAACTTCTTTATTTGTCATGTTCATAGTATTTTGGTCCGGACTCCTTGGAATCAGATAATCCAAGAAATGTTATTTCTGTATCTACTATGATGCACTTATAATAAGCTTTATATGCATCACTCAGTATGCGGTGTTCTGCTCCTGAAGAAGAAGTGTGAGCAGAAGCGCTGGCGGGACCTGACCGCGGCCGCCGGGACTGAGAGGCGGTCTGCTGAGCTTGCCTTGTCTCTCATGCTCGACAAGTACAGGCAGATGGACGAAGCCTTCACCATTCTGAAGGTTGGTCAAGTTGGGCAATATAATTTATTTTATAAGTCATTGCAATACTTTGAAATGTTTTAGAGCAATGAATAGTAAAAATGCATTAAACTTCATTGTACCGGAAAATTTTGATCTCAAGGCCAGTAAGAATATCTCTGTTATGAATAAGATCTATATTGACGTTATTGTTGTCACTTCCAAATGCACTGAAACTTTGAGACCAATTGCATGAATCATACAATTTGCGTAGCTCTTAAACTAGCTTCAGTTCTCTGAAATTGGCCTAAAATTTGCTACATCGTCATTCAACAAGAGTTGCTTATAAGTGAATAAGTGACTCAAACTACACATACTCTGAGGAGTCACTGCCAACAATGAGGCCAAACAGTGACCCTAAATGTTTAATAACCCAGATTTCACTTCTTTACATCCGGCTTCATGGCAGGCTTTTATGTCCCGCAGCTTGAAATTCTGACCCTAAATCATACGTGCTTGATGGGACTATTCAAATGGGTTACTAACTTACTACGTTATTATTTTTACCTTGAGTTACTTCAAAATCATTTCTCTGGACTCCTCTGATACCGAGATAACCTAGTTCTCCATTTCTCCAACTCCAAATCAACATTTCGCAAAATTTATGTCTGGCGTGATGTAATGAAAAACTGGCATGATTGGCCTGATGAATTTTATATGTTATTGTCATGAAGAAATGCAAATTTCGTACTCACCCTCCGACGGCACAAATGGTTTAAAATTTCTAGGCTCCAGGAAGTTACTGCTATGCGCCTGGCACTGCCAAGATAATCATGACCAAATATCCTACTTGCCAGTATCATATCACCAACACAGCTTTCCCTTGCGTTGGGACTCGGGAGTTTCCAAGTCCATCGCAGACTTTTTGCTCAATTCATTTGTTACCAAAGTTTGAGGCACATGCCGGGACGAGAGTCGTAATTGTCACTATTTACTAAATATACTCAGAAAATACTTCAAGCGCGAGCAATCGCTGAAAACATCTTTTAGCTAACATTCAAAAGAAAAAAATAGTGAATAAATGTTCACACTGATTGTGTTGCACTTTTGAACAGACGAATCCCCCCAATGATGTCAAGGCAAAGATCAACGCTCTTGGTTTCTACGCCGTTGGTGACGGAGCGTTCATCGCTACGATGCTGGAGTGCATTGAGGTTCATCCGCCCACGGTGGCTCTGGTGAACTTGCGCTCATGCCGCTCTACGCCATTCGCTGTCTTCACAAACGCCGTAAAAGTCTTGGCAGAATACGACTGCTACATCAGCTTGGCTAATGTCGAATACATGCACTCAACGGAGCTTCAGAGCGACGACTTCCTCGTTGGTCTGCTCGATCGAAAGCCGTAAGTTCGTTATTTTTTACCTAATGAGCAAATGAGACTTTTTTTGTGATCGTATAAAAGGCAGGAATAACGACTATTTATTGGATTTAATCGATATATCAGGTAAATTTCTCTTAGTTTTGTGCAATATTTCCCAAAAGCTTGCAATATCCACCGCCAAAGTGAGCGATGACCGCGCTACTCTCCTCCCTCTTATTTTTTTCCTATTTTCAGCGGGACTCTGGCGACATTCACGGGCAGGCTGAGTGATGACAGCATCAACCGCCTGCCTCGTGTGATGCTGCAGCTGAAGCTCTACGTGTCGTGCGCACGGCAGCTTGACGTCATTGACGCCATGCCCACCCGCGTCAGCAACCTCCGTCAGTTCTCCTACTTGTACATGCAACATGAAGGTTGAATTATTCATGACATTTTGGTACACGAATCCATGAGTTGATGGTGTGCATGCATGTCTGGCGGTGGCTGAGGTGGCGGACGTGGATGAAGGGTCGAAGGAAGAGGGAGATGTGAAAAAAGAGGGAAAAAAGAGGCCGGAAAGGGGAAAAAAATCACTCGGACGCGACTATAGGGGAATGGAGATGAGCAAAGGAAAGAGAAAAGGGTCGGATTCGAGACCGTGGCTTCCAGGTCCTTAGAGGCAAGATATTGTACGAGCTCCGGGGAACTCGAGTTTCGCAGTACGCGCTCCACTCGCGAGCTCCGGCTCGCCAGAAACCCGGTGCCGTACTAATAAAATTAGCTCAAGTTCACTTAGCGCCTGAAGTACACCTTGAGCCTCCTTTGTGCACGTATCGGCCTAAGCTCACGTTGCGGCCTAAGCTCACGTTGCGGCGCAATTACAGGTAGTTGCCTAAGCACACATAGCGGCGCAAGTACCCGCAACGCACGTTGCGCACCCGCACGGCGCAAGTACACGCAACGTGAGCCTAAGCTCACGTTGCGGCCCAAGTACGCATAGTTGCCCAGGCACACGTAGCGGCCCAAGTACACGTAAAGCACGATTTTTGTCTGTGACTGGTAGGCTTAGCTTGAAAAGGTGAACGTAACTAGTTGCTAACTCGTAACTATTTCCGATAATACGGCACCAGAACAATGGCACGAATCGGAGTGTCCTCATGACGAACTGAAGCTTATGTGACTGCAAGCAAATCATATTGACAGTTTGCTCCACAACTTTGTATTTATTTTCAAGACATCGAGCACAATTTTTTGTCGGTCACATATTTTGACTGTATCATGAACCTGATTTACACAACAACAGCCTTAGTTTCATATGAATTTTGCTGTGCAGAATTTAAGCGATTTCGAGTTGGTAGTATGTTAATTCTCTTCTAAGTATTTGAAGGCATCCACGTCGTTTTAATTGTTAATATTTGTAGATCTGCGCATCGCCCTCAACGTAGACCTGGATGGCGTGAAGCCTCTCCGTGCCCGAGTGCTGGACCATCCCCTGACACTCGCCTTCTTCGGTGTCGCAGACCAGCACCTCGACTGGCTCCTCTCAGCCATAAATAAGCTTAGGCGCTGCAGGCAAGTGGGCAGCTCTTTGGTAAAATAACGCATTTATCCATCTTGGGGTACTATTGTGCATTAATAACAATGCTATTTAGCTTTTAACGTTGTTAAAAGTAAAGCATTATTCCCCACACACGCTGAAAATTACGAGCTAAATTTTTATGATTGAAAAGCTTGCCACGTCGTTTATTTTAAGATTTTTTCCGTTTGGAATAATATAGGTTTGTGATGTTCTAGGATTTAAAACGTACAGGCAATTGAGGTCGGTATCTGGATAGCCTCAGTTTTTCAACTGCCTTTTGCTCGTGTTGAACTAAAACAATATCGGAACTAGCTTACTGAATTTTGCAGTCTATGCCGGAAAATAAGAACCAAGCCTTGTTCGAAATTCATCATCCACGTTGCCTAATCTAAATTGCATAATAACTGACATGGCATGATAGAGAATGCAAAGAGCAGCTTATCAACAACAAGTAATCTGTGATAGTTGAGTGAGCGGAAGGTTTGAAGGTTCTGCCTGTCTGCTGTTATTAAAGTTTTTATTTAGTAATGCTTAAGTTGCTAAACACTTCTTTGGGAGCTGTGACTCGTTGTTGTGACTCTCTAACCTTAAAAATGTTTGGTTCGAATGCTCGATGTATAGTTGAAAATTAAATAATATACGTTTAAAAATTACTTTTTAAAGACAACACTTCCAAAGAATCCAGTATCTCCAATCTTACAGATGTACAATGAATAATTTTTTAATATATATAATTTTTTTAATATATAATTTTTTTTTCAAAATTATTTATTCTGTTAATTGATTCATGCATTGCCTCTGATTTCACACAAGTGTGCAAAATTTCAGATCAATTAGACACGTAAAAGAGTGTCAAATACCAGTTATAAGATTTGTAGCTGACAAAATTGTTTTTTTCAATTTTTTAATAAAAAAAAAATTTTTACTTTTTAAAATCATTTATTTTGACATTTGATTCATGCATTGTATCCAACTTTAAACATGCATGCAAAATTTCAGATTGATAGGATAAGTAGAAGTGTGTTAAATTTCGATTACAAGATTTGTAGCAGACAGACAGACAGACAAACAAACAAGAAGTGAAGTTAAAGAGAAGTGTTGTAAAAAACTGTGAATTTTTCAAACAGGGTTGAAAAATTTTCAACCAGGGTTCTGCGTCAAAAAAGGATTGGCGCAGAGAGGCGCGGGTTCGATCCCAGCTCTGTGCGTCAGGTTCTGATCATAATGGGCGAGGTGGCCGGGCGGTTAAGCGAAGTAAAATTGAAGCAGTGAGTTGCGCGTTCGAGACCGCAACAAGCTGTGAATTATTCTGAAATGTTGAGAATCGGTGAAAGGCCTACGACCAAATAAACGCTGAAACCGCTATTATTTGACTTTTTAGTATTTTTTGTTGAATTCGCTCTCAGCTATTGGCACTTGTGTTTTTCCAATAAATATTAGAATGACTTGCTACTTGCAGTTCCCTGCACGGTAGCATGGATGTCAGCACCGAGAGAAGGCTGCACCTGATGGCCTGTCGCCTCACGCCGTCCGCACATTACCGTCTGTGCCTCGCGCTTCCTGCAGACATCGTGGAGGTCGCCATCGAGGATAACTCCCTCAATCCCCTCTGCTTTGCCACTGTTTATACGACCTACAAGACCCGCGGCTGCAAGTTGTATTACAACCTCATCGCTGATCCTGCGAACGTTGATGTGCCCATTGCCATGGACTGGTTTGCTTAGTATCAACGCAAACGCTGAGAGAAACAGGATTACGAGAAAAAGATTTTTCACCTCGGATGTTCCAATAAACCGACCGATGGTTGTCAAGATGAGTTGTCTTGTTTTCGGTTGTCAATGTTCAGTTTTGTTAGCTTGGAATTTGAATATTACAATATTACATGCTATATAAGTGCAACGCTAGTCTTGCAATGCCATATATCTGCGCATTATGGTCTTCTAAGAATTTTTTGTTACGCAACTAAACGTTACCTTACTATGCTACTATCTCATCACCATCACCTGACGCTCGTGTGTCAAGTGATACTTCAACAATGTGATCTCACGAGTGCCTCAACTGCTGCCATTGTTGAGGTAGCCATTATTTTTGGAGTGCCTTGATTTCGGCCAGCAAGTGATTTATGCAGAAGATTTTTTTCGTTTACATTCTTGTCAGAATTCAGAAGATTGTCTTTGAAACTATGAATTACGTTCGATTTTTGTTAAATATAATTTTGCAAGAGGACAGGCAAAGCGTAACTCAAGCGTTGTTGAGTTGTGTAGGAGGGCAGGCAGGATCTGAAGAGTTGAGTTGTGTAGGAGGGCAGGCANTGTATAAGAGACAGGTGTAGGAGGGCAGGCAGGATCTGAAGAGTTGAGTTGTGTAGGAGGGCAGGCAGGATCTGAAGAGTTGAGTTGTGTAGGAGGGCAGGCAGGATCTTAAGAGTTGAGTTGTGTAGGAGGGCAGGCAGTTCTCCGTCTCTTGCCTGTCCCTTATTCGAATTTTACCAGCATCACACCTATCTTATGCCTGCCACATCTGAGCCTTTTACCCGTCTTATCGAAAACGAATCAGTTTTCATTGCATAAGTTTGAGGCGTTCTGAACAGATGAAATTTTTATTGAGAAATTTAAATTTTTTAATTTCTCAGTTGATATATTTTTATTTTCCGGACGCATTAGTAAAACTCGTTTTCTACTTGCATCTCCCTCTTGGACTTGCATCTCCTCTTGGTGACGTATGCTGACTTGGATTAGTAATCTGGTCTGAGAGGTTCATAGAAAACTGGGAATTGCTTTAAAATACTGATTTAAGCTCCAATGTCAAATCTGCATAGCGGATTGCCGAGTTGATGTTTCAAGTTCAAAATTTTTAAAGAATCGTTTATTCGCTAGTCAATTTTTTTCTTGTGTATTGTACGGGTAGTGATATTTTGAGAGATAAGACTGATTTCTTTATTGAAAATATGTATTATGTTTCGGTATAGAAGGCTTTGAGAGATTTATGTGTTGGAATGGAATATATTAAACATGCATGCATTACGATTGGTCCTTATTAAGCACAATAACCCCACAGTCTCAGGAAAGTTTACAGCACGTCCTCGCGTTCCTGACTTCATGTGGATTCACGTTTGTGGAATTCTCGTCGATTTAAATAGAATACAGATTAGGTTTACAGACGCTATTTAGATTATAAGCTCCTCTGTTGCGGCTCGATTCAACGCCCAAGCGAGTGTTCCAAAATTATTTTTAGGTAAAACTTGAGAGAACACAAATTATGAACGTTTCTTGGAAATTCATGTTGGGTTTTCTAGATGAATTTGAAGAGGAGTTGATTTCTCAACAACTCTAGTTGATTTCTCAACATCAACCAGATTTAATATACGTTAACATTCATTTCATAGGAGCAATGGAATGGTAGAACATTCTTTGGCCACTCCAATTTTGAAGAGAAATGCAAAGAACAAATTTGCTCTGCCAACTGTTAATGAAAAGAATACGAATTTTGCGCGTTAAATTCTTAAGGAATGCAAGAACGAGTTTACGGGGCATGTTGTAAAGGGATGCTGACAGCCGGCTCTCCTAAAGCCATAAGATGAATAATTTATATTCAATGACATTGCCGTTCCTTGAACCGTTTCCTCAACCATGTATCGCCAAAGAAATAATTGAAATTGAGCGTCGTTTCAAGTCATGGTTGAACTAGTATAGTTTAACCATGATTTCAAGTGACTAATCTGGACGATTAGTACAATTTTACATATCATGAGCATTTAGCAATTAAATTTATGCGATATTCTCTAACAATAATTGATGATGATTCAAACATTGAACGAGTTTCATTCATAAATAAAATTCTTTCTATTTTTAAAACTACAGCGATGATTTCTGAATTAAAATTACTCGCAACTGCGGACGTGACGTGTAGGACGGCCCAAATATGCCGGTCCGCGCTGTCGTGGGATGCATGCCAGAGCCTAGAGGGGAGAAAGTCAGTTGCGTTCATTGCGAAAGCACGTGTACGATTTGCGCTCTCTAGCATTCAAAATCTCTTTTGGTATTTTGCATTCGAAGGTTCAATTTCTAAAGTAATATCTCACTATTTGTAAATTAAATAGTTTTACCAACACGACTGGCTTTCTCCCTCTGAGGTTTGCCAGTCCTTTTTTTTCAGTTCTTTGGTTCAATTGGTTGTAAATTATTTGGCATGGCAGACACTCCCATGTGCTTGCATTGTGGGGTGGATGATACCGTGGAGCATTTTCTCCTGGCATGCCTGCGGTACCGCCTGGAGCGTCAGTTACTGATCACTACTACTCGAGCCATGGGTATTCACCATCTAACTGTACGAATACTTCTTGGAGGAGGCAACTACTGCAGGAAGATTCAACATGCAATTATAAGAGCAACAATCACCTATTTAACGCAAACAAATCGTCTGACTTCCCTGTAGTGCTTGAGCACCACCCTGGATTTACCTGTGATCAAATCTGGAAGACCAGCCAATAGATCCTTCAAGGATCATTGACACTCGACGCTGAAACTTTCTGCTGAGTCCAGGTGTAACGAGTGGTTATCTTCCGACTACTTCTTCACCTTCAAGCCGTACACAACAACAACGATCTTGCGCTCTCTAACATTCAAAATCTCTTTTCGTATTGTTATTTGCATTCGAAGGTTTAATTTCCAAAGTAATATCTCACTATTTGTAAATTAAACAGTTTTACCAACACGACTGGCTTGCTCCCTCGTCCCTCCGAGGTTTGCCAGTCATTTTTTTCAGTTCTTTGGTTCAATTGGTTGTAAATTCGATTTTTCAGTGAAGAGAGGCCGGCGCTGATTGTTGATTCTTTCGGTTGCTTTGGTATGGAAGACTCCAGCTGCCTTGCTGGTTCAGGGTGTGCCGGTGTGGCCCTCCTTCGGCCTCTGGAGCAATGGAGACTGGTAAGGAGGCTGTGTTGTTGGGTGTGGTGTGGATGATGCTACTTGGGAGCGCAGCCCTACACCACAAATTTAGCTCGTAAACAAGCCCTGGCGGCTGGCGCCAACACCTACCCTATAATGCAATAACTAAACTCAGCTCACACCCAACTGACCCAAGACCAAGAAGCTGTAGGTAACTGAGTCATCTCCCCACACCAACTTTAAGCAACACCTACCTCACTCCACAGCCTGCTGAATCAAATAGTCAATTGTCAACAGGTCCTACTCCACAGAACTTTACCCATACCATCACTTCTTACACACGCCGCAAGCCTTACTGGCCGCAGACCACGCCGGATCACCGTAAAACTGCTCTGCTAGTTGCAGGACTGGCGTAATCCCTATAACGCCATGCCCCGGCTCTCCCCCTTCGCAGCCATAAGGCTTTCTTCACTTTCTGATCAGTTTTGCGCCAGGCGCGATGGAGGGAGGGTACGCATGAATTGCTCTCCGAACAGCTAGTCAACGCTCGTTATTCATGCATCTGACGCTGTTGGAAATTGTTGCTGCACGATACCTAATTCCTGATGATGCATGAAGGGAGGGCAAACATTTGAACCTACTCCACAGAATTTTATCCCATAGGGCCCATACTATTAATACTTCTTACACACGCCGTAAGCCTTACTGGTCGCAGGCCACTCCGGATCATCATAAACCTGCTCTGCTATTTGCAGGACTAGCGTAATCCCGCTGCACTCCACGGGCAGAAGTGCAAACCGCCGTCCCTATAACGCCATGCCCCGGCTCTCCCCCTTCGCAGCCATAAGGCTTTCTTCAATTGCTGATCAGTTGTGCGCCAGGTTAGGTTAGGTCCCTCCATTGCGCCAGGCGCATTACTGATCGGGCAACGAGAAAAGCCTTCTGCTCCACACTCAGGAGTCAGGATGATGTATGTTTTTGGTGAATTTTCCTGCGCATTTTCACTTTTTTTAAGCTATTGCTGTGCACAGTTGGCGCAATGTAATGAAAATTGATTATCTTCGCGCACGTGTTCGCGCAATCCCGGCCATCTTTATTTAGAAGAAATTTTCTCCAAAGTCATATGGCAACACTGAACACCGTCTGTCCCGGACATGTCTTACATTTTATTATTGTCAGTTCAACTCGCGTAGTCAATATACTTGCGTATATTGTCGACTAAAATAGTAGAACTATTTTAGCTTTCTAAAGTACGGCGCACGGCGCATTTTTTTACCAACATAGTACGGCGCACCGCGCAGGTCATTAAAATGACAAAATAAATTCCCGCGCACCTGGCACATCTTCCTGACCATGCCGGGGCGCGGGCAGTTCTGCTGGCAAGTGAGGCACTGCAGGAAGAGTGGCTGCTGGCCAATAGAGTTGTCTCTGGAGTCTGGACAGGATCAGACCCCAAGGAAAAAGCCCTCAGAAGACTGTGTCACAACCATTGTGCAAACAAAGAAAGTGGCTGGTACAGAAGCAACTAGAAGTTTGTTGCCCCTGGGAGGATCAGCATCTTTGCAGTTGAACCGTGTGCTTCTTAAACAAGGTGGACGCTCTAGGGAGCGAGGCAAGGGCAAGTCTGCAAGTGGTAGAGAACTATCTCAATGAGTTATAGACTGAAGTCTCAGCATTTGACCCATCCTCCTAGAAGGGAGCTGGGCTTGGAGATTGTGCAGCTTAACTGTCATGGCCTGCGTGGGAAACTAACGGAAATAAAGCTATATCTATATAGAGAAAAGCCAGATGTTGTGTGCCTCTGTGAGACTTGGTTGGTAGTCCATGAGCCCTCTTTCGTTGGTTATTCTGGAATGTGGTCACATCGGGAAAATGCATTTAGAGGTGGCATGGCAATTTTAGTTAGGAGAGATCTTCAACAACAACAGTTTGATATCCCGGTATTTCCAAGAGGTTCCAATCTTGAATTTCAGTCTTTAAAGATCAACACAGCACTAGAATGGATTGCTATTGGCAATTTCTATAATCCAGGTAATAATGTAGCCCATGATGAAATTAATTTTTTCTCTATCTCAACTTGGTGACAGCTTTGTGGCTGTTGGAGACTTCAATGCCCATTCTCCTCTGTGGGATGCCAGGGGCAGATCTAATGTCACTGGAAGATCCATAGAAGCAACAGTTGAGGGCACTTGAGGCCTTGCCCATATGTCTCTTGAAATATGGCAGCTTCCCTACATATATAGACAATCAACAAGGTACTACATCCTGCTTGGACCCTGCCATTTTGACTTAAAATTTGTCTACTTGTGCCAATTTTGACCCAAGGTCCAGATCTGGGTAGTGACCACTTTCCTATTTGCTGCAAATTAGGCATTAAAATTGTCAAGTCTCCTGAAAAGACACCAGTTCGGTGGAAACTTTATCAAGCTAACTGGCCATATTATCAGCAACTCCTTGACAAGACACCTGCCCCTTCAGAGTATGGCCCTAAAGATGCTAATAGTGCTTACATTTTGCTATCAAATTCCATACTGAAAGCTGCCTCTGTTGGTGCCCCGCAGTTCTGGACAGAGGCACTGTCGCTTCTCCACACCATGGTGGGATGGAGAATGCTCAAAGGCAGTGGCTCTAAGGCATAAAGCTGAGGGGAAATTATGGCGTTCACCCACTCCAGCAAATCTTATTGAATACAAGCAGTGTGAAGCTGTGGCCCGGAATCTCAAAATCAGAAAGCAGCGCTCCAGCTGGATGGAGTACATAAGCACCATATCTTCATCAACAACCACTAGGGAGGTTTGGGGAAAAATATGCAGTATTCAGGGAAGACCAATAAGCAGTTTCTCCTACCCACTGGATGGTGCTGCACATGATGATATTGCCAAAGCTAACCTTTTCTCTTGCCATTTTGCTGCTGATATTCCTACCACTGAACATGAAGAAGGTGTGGCTGATGTTCTACAGGTGGTTAAAGACATAGCCAATCTCAAACAGTACAGCTGTGTACCATTTACAGTGGGGGAATTTGCTACGGCACTCAAAGCACTTAAAAATACAGCTCCTGGTCATGACTCAATAATGAATATCTTCTTCACAAAGGCGACCTTGCAGTGCGAGCAGGAGCTATTTGCACTTCTAAATAC